TGCAAAACTTGCGAGCCCAACACCACCAGCTCCTGATTCTTGGCCTGGGAGGGTGCAGCGCCACGCTCAGCTTTCGGCATTCCCGGCAGCCGTCTCGGTGTCGTGGAAAACCCCGGGCCTCCTGTGCACGAAGGGCCGAGGTACCCTGAAGCGCATGCAGACGGTGCCCAGTTCTGCCTCCGGACCTCCACGCCAACTCCGAAAGAAGTGGCAGCAAGGCTGATCCTTGGCCAGTGACAAGCGGCTGCTGTTTATATACGTCGCCTTCTGATCGAGAGCATACTCGTCCCACCTCTGAGAATCTAGCTGGCGGAGCCCACGAGCTCACCTATGCATGGAATGCCAAGGAATGCCTCAGGCGACTCTTCAACTTCATGCTGCCAGGTTGCAATTACACGATGACGTCGTCGTCGCGAACGCAGTCATCCTTAGTCCGATATGAACAGTCAGTGCAAAACACCCATTGTGGCATGATGACATGCATGATGCTGAGAAACAGGCAGGACTGCAGCAGCAGGACATGCCCCAAGCGAAGGCTTCTTGCACATCCTCGCCGAAGCATCTGAGTTCCCATGCCCTTTTGGACATCTATGGAACTCCACCTATTCCTAGATGTCGGTGCAAATCCAGGGCCTGCACGAACTGCCGCACCTGCTCCCGCTGGCGCGCTGCCTGCGTGTAGTTTAACACGCATGGCCCTCAGGACTAAAAACTCAAGCTTAACATGCTGAGATATGCTGAGGCTGTAGTTTTGCAGCGAAACTCCCACTGCCTTTCGGTGAATCCTTGCAGCAGTGATGGCAAAGTCACGCCGCACAGCGGCACGATCGTGTGGATCAAAGTCGGGACGTCCAATTTGGTGGAAGATTCCACCCGAGGCCACCCACTGGAAGTACACCCACTCCGTCATGGCTAAATGGAACCAAGCCGCTAGCCGCTAGCCGACTTGAGAACTGCAATGCTGCAAGGACGGCCGACTACAACAGACGCCTGTGCCACGATGCTCCAGAACCTAGAAACGAAACTATCCGGTAGCAAGGAACTCTGGGATTTCGAACCGGCGCGGCAATGCAGACAGGGCAGTACGCGTGGGCCATCTTTGCACAGGGATCGTTGTCCCGGCGGTGGAGGTCGCTCTTCAAGAACAAAGGATTCAGCTCCGGCTTGCCAAAGGTCACACTGACCTTGAACTTCCGATGGATCGTCGTGGTTATCGTAGTCACCCCTCAAACTCCGCCAAGCCCAGGATTCCAAAGTGATGTCTGGAATACAGGCCAATGACAGCTCGACCACAGCCGCACGTGCTGCAAAAG